AAGATTTAATGCTGAGTGAAGCAAGCCAGGCTATGAAGGAGAAACACTGTATGTCCCCACTTAATATATACTGAATGTTCACACTCTATAACTGAAACAGATGGGCTATAGGATGTACAAACACAAGAGATGGATGTGAATGCCAGATGTGGTGTGTGTGGAGGAGTGGGGCCTGGGGAAAAACATTTGGAGGAGGGATATCAAGACAGCATTGTTGAGACAGGGAGGTAGTGTTGTTATAGCTTGATCAACTTGTCAGGGGAGAAATGTTCACATATTGGAATGATCACCTTGTAAGATAAATAATGTGATTGAATGTATTAAAAAATGAAAATAAAAAAAGAAATTGTGAATATTTCAGATATCAGAGTGGAAAAGTGAGATATTTAAATTGTATAGAGATGGTGAAATATTGTTTTTCTTGTTTTATTTACATTTCAAAACTGTATGTATTTTCAGTTTACAAAATGAATCTTCCTAACATGACTACATTGACCATTATAAGTCCAGTCAAATATATTATCATAATAGCATCCTTAACATGTAATTTTACACTTTTGAGTCTGTTAATTTTTTTTTTCATGGAAGTTCTAGGAGATAATCGAGTGGAATCTAATCTGATTTTCACCATTTCTGCCTCTGGTGCTACATTGTGCCAGGTGAACAAGTAAAATTCTGCACTTTCAGCACTTCTTCAGTATCAGGATCACTTATGATTGGATAGTTTCCCTCCAAAGAAGACTTTTCAGAGCCCTCTTTATGTCTTTATTCCTCAAACTGTAGATGAAGGGGTTCAGCATGGGTGTGACCACAGTGTACATCACTGAGGCTGCTGCATTTGAGTGTGAGCTATGGGTAGTAGCAGAACTAAGGTACACACTTATTGTTGTACAATAAAATAAAGAGACAACCAAGAGATGAGAAACACAGGTGGAAAATGCTTTATACTTCCCCTGAGCTGATGGGATTGCATGAATGGAGGAAACTATCTTGTAGTAAGAGTAAAGGATCCCAGAGAAGGGAATACCAGCCAGCAGTACAGATCCAAAATAGATCACCATGTCATTTAAAAAGGTGTCAGAGCAGGCAAGATGGATAACCTGATTAAGTTCACAGAAAAAATGGGGGATTTCCAATGGTGTACAGAAGGACAGTCGCAATGACATTAAGCTATGCAACAATGAATTCAGCATACTCATGATCCAGGACAAAAGAGTCAGCAGCACACAAAGCCAGGGGTTCATGATGACTGTGTAGTGTAGAGGATGACAGATGGCCACATACCGGTCATAGGCCATCACTGTCAGGAGAAAGTCATCTAATGATGCAAAGAGCATGAAAAAGAACATCTGGGTGATGCAGCCTGCATAGGTGATGGCCTTGCTCTGTGTCTGGATGTTCACCAGCATCTTCGGGATGGTGGTGGAGGTGAAACAGATGTCCACAAAGGACAAGTTGGAGAGGAAGAAGTACATGGGTGTGTGCAGGTGGGAGTCTGAGATGGTGGCCAGGATGATGACCAGGTTTCCAATCACTGTGATCAGGTACATGCAGAGGAAAATCCCAAATATGAGGGGCTGCAGTTTTGGTTCCTGTGAAAGTCCCAGAAGAAGAAATTCTGAAATTCTTGTGTCATTCTCTGTTTCCATGGGATGGAAGTGACTATCAGGAAAGAGAAATTAACATGACTAATTTTTCACTCAAAATGGCTCACAGAGTTGACTAACCCAATTCACAAAAGTTACATAGTTAAAGTGCTACAGTTTATGTTCTTTTAGTAAAGGAGTTATTTTTTATTGCAAGGGGCAGCATATACATGTTAGAGAGACAGAGAAAGGGGGTGGGGCATGGTCATGGTACAATCCTCTATCTCTCCATTCTGCTGTGATTTCAGCATGCATGCACCCACACCCAGAGCGTGTTTTAAGCAACCAGGGCTGAGACTCGCACCTTGGTCAACCATGTGAAATCTGGTTTCTTGAATTGCAAGGCTACAGGGCTGACCTATTCTCTTTATTTTGCGTATGGTTCCTCTCCCCTTTAGCACACCCCACCCTCTCAGGCTCTATTTTATTGATAATTTCTATCCCATTCCCAACCTTTCTCCAAATTCTCATATGCATTTGAGTAATATAAACAGAAAGTTCACCAAATATCATGTACTGTTTGAGTAAAGAATATAAGTTGCTAAGAAACTAAAATACTTAATAATTATTGATGGATAGTATGAACTGATGAAAAAATAATCACATGACATGTCACTTTTTTGGGGGGGGGGAGGGAGAGGTTTTTGTTATAGAGCGTGTGTGCTCGCTAGAAAGACAGAGAGATAGAGAGACAGAAAGCAAGAAATCACCCTCCAGGGGGGATGGCCATGCTGCAATCCCTTCTCCTCCATTCTCCTCTCGGGATCCTGGGCACGCATGCACATGCATCCGGCATGAGTTTAAGCCACCAGGTCTAGGACTCAAACTATGGTCAACTACATGGGAATCCAGCAACATAGCCATTACGCTAACTGATGGTCCCACATGTCACGTATTAACAAGTGATTTGAAGATAATAAAATTTCATAGAAATTACAGAGTGTACAAGGGGACTATTAATTAACTGGCAGATAAGATGACATTTGAACAGAGACCTCAGGGAAGAGAGGGCAGGAGCTGCAAGAATATCTGGGAATGTGTAGATGTTGTAGAGGATATGAGCAGTAGGGAGAATAATCAGATAATGTCAGGGGATGCTGAAGAATTAGGGGACCTTGGGACCAGCAGTTAGCATAATGGCTATGTCGCTGGACTCACTTGTAGTCGACCGCGGTTCAAGTCCCAGACCCAGTGGCTTAAACTCATGCTGGGTGTGTGTGCGTGGATGCCCAAGATCCCAAGAGGAGAATGGAGGAGAAGGGATTGCAGCATGGCCATCCCCCCGGGGGGTGATTTCTCGCTTTCTGTTTCTCTGTCTGTCTTTCTGGCAAGTGCACACGCCCTATAGCAAAGGCCTCTCCAAAAAAAGAAAAAAATGAGAATTAATAATAATAACAATAATTTGAATAAAATGATGAAAAGTTATATGATGATGATATAGATAGTAATTTAAAAAGAAATGTGGGCCTGGGGAAGAACATTTGGAGGAGGGATACGAAGACAGCATTGTTGAGACAGGGAGGTAGTGTCGTTATATTTTGATCAACTCAACCGGAGAGAAATGTTCACTTATTGGAATGATCACCTTGTAAGCTAAATAATGCTATTGAATGTATTAAAAAATGTAAATAAAAACAGAAATGTAATACACTGTAAAGATATATGTGATTCAATATAATATAAAAAGATTACCATAATAAATAAAATAAAACTAAAAAAACCATTGTGGTATGATCACTTTGTGCTGTGTATTTATAGGAACATTTAAAAAGTGAGAATTATGTGGAATATATGACCAAGTAAATAGAACAGATTCAAAACAACCATATGCAGTAAAGCGGAATGAGAATATAAAGTTAATTATTAAAGAAAAACTTAAAAATGATCAGTTAGTTACATCAACATAGATCTCTAATTTTAGATTAAATGAAAAAGACCTGTATATAAAATATTAAAAAATATATTTTTAAAGAAGCAGTGGAAGAAAAAGTATTAACAGTATCAATTGTTATAATTTAGTACCATATAAACAAATGGATTCAAATATGCTTATGTAAAAGATCTACAATATTTTGGGTGAACACAAAAGAATGTGTTGTACAAGATGGTTGAAAATCATTGTTAAGTTTTAAAATATCACAAGACACATGTTGTAGTACTAAGAAAAACAATATAAAATAAGATGATGAAGGTTATGCAAGGAAATATTAGTAATAACTAATAATGATTCAAAAGCCTTTCCTTAGGTTATAAAGCAATGAAGTTTCCCAGCAGATGGTATGAAGGTTGAAGGGACTGGATCTTAAAGGGTGAACTGCATGATTCTAGTCTCAGACCTGGTAGCTTGAAAAACACAACAGGCATGTGTGCATGCATGCCCCAAATCATGAGAGAACACAGGAGAGGGAATTGTTGCATGACCATATCCCCTGAAGGGTGCTTTCTAATTTTCCGTCTCTTTTTCTCTCTCTCTCTCTGACAAGCATATGTGCCCTAGAGCAAAAACTGAAACAAAACAAAACAACCCAAAGAGAAAAACAAGGAACGGTATGCAGCATGACTAACTGATAGATGTAACCACACCAAATTTAAAATTTTTCACATAGTACCCCTCACAAAATATATCATTCATCTATCATAACTAAATAGAAAATAGCAAACTTACTGCAAAAACTTCAGTCCTTAGAAAGGATAAAATCTAAAGACCCTGGTATGAAAAAGCAAAAAAATTGCAAAGACCATTCCCAGTACAGAAAAAGGCTAACAAACTCCAAAATGTTTTCAGTCTCAGAAGTAATGAAATAATTGATGTGTAAAGTTTATTAGTTTTCCCCAGTGTACTATCAAAACTGATTTTTTTTTCTTGTGACTACCCTACTTGGGTGAAGATACCGCAAAATGTGTGTCAAATGAGCTACTGTTGCAAGCTAATATTTGTAAGCCATCCCTTGGCCTGGTCTTTGTGTTGAATATAGAAACATGCCCATATAAACAAGAGATGGATGTGAATGCCAGATGCGGTGTGTGTGGAGGAGTGGGGCCTAGGGAAAAACATTTGGAGGAGGGATACAGAGACAGCATTGTTGAGACAGGGAGGTAGTGTTGTTATATTTTGATCAACTGGACCAGGGAGAAATGTTCACATATTGAAATGATCACCTTGTAAGCTAAAAAATGTGACTGAATGTATTAAAAAATGTAAGAAGTAAAAAAAAAAATTAAAATAAAAAAGAAATATGCCCATATACATTCCATCTTAAAAAGTAAATAAAATAACCCACATTTCAGTGCACATCCTTCCAAGCAAAATATTAAATTTTCCTTTTCACATATTGCAAATCGCCATAGACATAGAAATGTGCTAACTTTATTGAAACCCTCTACCACTCCTGTTCCTTCATTGGCCTTCTCCTGTAGGATTTCACTTCTCATCATTTAATTCTCACCTGCATTCCCGAGTCTAACAGACTTCTTTTTTAAATGTATTAAATAAATTAACTACAAATTAGTCTAACAAGTAAGCAAGCACAGTGATCTTGTGGCTCTGGGCTATGCTAGTTTGGGTTCTCAGGTGACTTCAAGTGAACATTCCAAGTGTTCATCCTCTGTGAGTCTTTTCTTCAGTACATATTGGGCTCTCAGACTCACCTGGTTCGGGGTACCGAGAAGGCAGTGGCCATGTGGAGTCTGAATTCCTCCCCGAATAGATGATCATAGAGACTAAAGCTTTGTTCTCATACAAGACAGCAGGAAGGAATAAAGCATTATTTTCATAGCTAGATTTTGAACTACAAAAGAAAAGTTAACCACATTCTGTCCTGCACAAAGACTACAGCACAAGAGATATTTACAGCTCCTGGTATTGGCTTATCTGGCACCATTGTGTCCTGTGACTCCAACTCCTGGGTACTTGGTACCCCTGTGGGACACTGGTCTGGCAAAAAGAAATAATTTCCTGATCACTCTCTTGTCCCAAGAGATCAAGTTAGAAGTCAGGTGAATGCTGTCATTCTTATTCCACCTTGAACTCATCTTCCTTTAGAGGTCTAACTCATTAGCCCTTTGCCCAATTCCAAGTTCAACTCTTCTCCAAAATTTGAGATACCTGACTAGGTCCCTTGGAACTGCAAAGCAGAGAATTGTGATGACAAAGTACTTCTTATCTCTAAACAATTCCTGTTCTTTCTCCATCAAGGGTGGGAACTGTGTTACACTGTGAAACCTTGGACCGTTACTGGAATTTTAGGTTCAGTTGTTTTTGATAAACTGCAAAGATTTTTCAAACTTTGTCATGGGGGGACCAGCAGTTAGTGTAATGTCTCTGTTGCTGAACTCCCATATAGTCGACCACGGTTCGAGTCCTGGACCTGGTGGCTTAAACTCACACCAGGCACGTGTGCATGTGTGCCCAAGATCCCAAGAGGAGAATGGAGGAGAAGGGATTGTAGCGTGGCCATCCCCACGGGTAGTGATTTCTCGCTTTCTATCTCTCTGTTTCTCTGTCTTTCTGGCGAGTGCATGCACCTTATAGCAAAAACCTCTCAAACAAACAAACAAAAACAACAACAACAACAAAACTTTGTCATAGGGCAGTTCTTTTTTAATTTTTTTTAAAAATGTATATTTCATTTTCTTTTATACATTCAATCACATATATCACTTAGCTTGTAAATTGAATGTTCCTACATGAATATAGTTCTCACCAGTTCAGTTAAAGACCTCTACAACCTAGTGATTCAAGAAGGTGGATCTCACATAGAGGACCATAGTTCGAATCCTGGGCCTGGCTGCTTAAAAACACTGCTATGTGTGCATGTGTGCTGAAAGTCATGGCAGAATGGAGAGACAGAGGAGATGGGTTTGCTACATAACCATGGCTATTGGGGAGTTAATATTATTTCCCA